TGGTGGCGCAACCCGGAAAAGCCGCGGGCGTCAAGGACTGACGCGAGGGGGTCACCTGATGCGTCAAAATAAGACGCAGAGGGAACTTTGGAAAAGCGTCAATATGTGATGAGTCGGGAGTGAGAATGTAGTAAAACCATATGCTTGATTTTGTGGCTTTCCTTTTTTGTTGCCAAAACAGCTTTGATTTTTAGAGACATAAATAATGTACCTCTAGATATCTTACAATTTATACCACATAAACACTTGTGTCGGATTCTTTTGGTACATGACCTGGAATGCTGCATTTCACACAGCTGCACAGCAAGACCCAGAGATGGGAAAGTCTAATGAAGTCTTGGCTTTCTTTGTTGTGGTCTTTGAGCCGTTGCTGCAATTTCTGTGGCGAGCTGGGGCACATTGTCCTGCTGTTGAATGCAGCAACCATTTGAGATGCCAAGAAGGTGTGTGTTTAGTCTGCAGTGGTACTGAGGTGGTGAATTGGTACCAGAGTAACATCCATATCAATGCCAAACTCTAAATTTCCTGACAGAGCATTGCATTGCAATGAAAGAATAAACGTTATTCACTTCACCTCTTTCTACCTTTCTCTCTTCAGTACCAAAATGAGCTTGTTCATCTTGATTTCCTGGTTAACTTTATCTTCCTCCTTAATATCAACCTCCTAAATGCCGACAGAGCTTCTAAAAATGCATTTTCTCATTACAGGAATCCCTGGTTTTAAAGTTCACTGAATTTAATTGGTGTTTTATAGGATAATATGAGGTAAAAAGCCCCTTTAAAATAGAATCATTCCTCTCTGTCTCTCTTAGGGAAACTCGCATCTCTTCAAAGTGTGGTCTTACTGTCTCGGTGGCAGACTAATGGCAGCTTCTAGTGGGCTTATTTGGGTTTAATGTGGCATAATGAGGTTAGGTAATTGGGTTTAGGTCAAGTTGTAAAACAGGTTTAGAGGAGACAGAGATGTGAAGATCATGTAAATGAGTGGTGTTACATGGCTAAAGGCTCACAAGTGTAGCTGCTGCTTCTTCAAAGCATATATATTGTACAAATGCGACCTATCTTCAGGTACAAATGGTTCCACAAACCTTAATTCTGTATGGAACATCAATTAAAACAACACTCATACAAGGTCTAAGTGGTCTTTGGGGAAATAATTCCACATTAATGCTATATTCTATCTTTAAATGCTATCTATTTGTATCATTTTGTCACTTGCTTCTGCCTTTCTTGGTTTCAGTCATCGTCTTCCCTCATTGAAAATATCAAATCATGTGTCATATATAATTTAGGAGCTGGGAAGTTAATGAACATATTAAAAAACATTGCACATCCACAGCAACTTGGGGCCAATTTTTTAAATTTGTTAAAAGGCATGACTAATTAAAAAGGATATTTTAATTAGGTTGAATTTGAATACTTTTTTTTAACCCTCCTTATTACCTTTGTGGCAGGGTTAAGATGAGAGGATGTTGAGATTAGATATTCTCACACTAATTAAGACTACACATCCCCTGGGAAGAGAATAAGGGTCTGCTCATTCCATCTTTCTGCACCCTGTCCACCCTCCTTCTTTTCCCCCTCCCTCCTTACCCCTGCRTCTTTCCCCCCGTAGCGCTGGACCACGGGGACCTGGAGGAGAGACACATCTGGGATTAAAATGAACGTGGAATGGGATGCGACATCCCTCCTTCACATCTCCTCTCCATTTTCTCTCATCTCCCATCCGTTGCTCCCCATGGGGGCCTGAAGATGACACATTAACCTTTGAGGTTGTCAGGCCATGAGAGAAGAGAGATTCTCACATTAGGATTAACTTTATTCATCTAATTAAACACATGATCGTGCCAACAGACAAGACCACGTGATCTCAATGAGTGGAGAAGCTATGCTGGATTTTCTGGGAAATGAATAGGCCTATTCAGCAACTATTTTTTATTGCAATGGCATCACTGTCACAACTGCGCATCACTCAGTATAGGTCATCAGCTACTTGTTAATGAATATGTCAATCAGTCAGCAGCTATAAAGTAGTAAGAATAGGGCTAACTTTTATGAATAAGCATCAAGATGCACTTGTTTGGCTTCAACAACTTTACCTTTACATTGTTGGAAAACAACCAGCTTCTTTATGGAATTTTCTCAAATCTTTCAGTTTACATTCATGTCTTCTTGTTATTTTTATTTTTATTTTTATTTTTGTTCTAGTCTCCATATAGAGCACCTGGTACTCAGGGCTTTGGTTTTTATTGTTACGGTGAAGAACACGCAGTATGAAATTGTAGGCTGCACTTTCTCCCTGAAAGGAGTGACAGGGTGAGATGGAGTTCACTGTGATAGCCTCAAATACAAGCATCTAGGAGACAAAATCAGGATATCCAATTCTCAACAAGCTTAGTAAAGTGTTGACTATTTCATTTGCTCTTTCATTCCTTCTAATGCTATGTACACAATCCCTAAATTAGACTGATCAATGTGCTAATCTCCCTTTGAGCCAAAAGATTTTTGATTTAGATTTCCTTAAAAAAAAGTGTGTCTTTTCTAGGAGGTGACTTCTTTGGTTGGCTTGGTTTTTGGTTTATTGTCTGAGGAGTGGGGGCCGGTGGGCCTGTGTGTTGGGAGTGCGGCACCACTGGGTTTGCATACACACCTCCACACCAGCCTTCTCTTCGCCTTCTCCTTTTCTCTCCCATGCCTGTGAGTCACTTCCATGCACCGTTTCAGGGGAAGGGGAGGAAAAATACAAATAAACAAAAAACTCTTTCCAGAGTTTATGTTCTCAAAGAGAACTAGATGTGTGTGTGTGTGTGTGTGTGTGTGTGTGAGGTAGTTGGGTTTAGGGAGTTGGCAGGCAAGGGTGTGTTGAGAGAGTCTGTGGCCAGCAATTGAAAATTGTTGCCCTTACACAGAAAGATCTGTGTACACTTCCTGCAAAGTCAAACAAATWGAACCAGGGTGCAGGTTTATGAGAGTGTTTGTGTGACTGCCCGTAAACCTCTCTGCCTGTCATCTTCAATCACTGTTCTGTTTCTGATCAGACCTCATCTCTTTCTCTCTCTCTCTCTCTCTCTCTACATGTTTGTCTCTGTGCAATGGCATTTGTTTGTGTGTTTCTCCTTGTTTTGTGTTGTTTTGTGTATATTGTTTGTTTTTCATGTGATGCCAGGTCTGGATCCAGAGAAGCACTTAGGGAAATCCCTTGCTGAAATGGAACCCCATCTGAAACAGGTCATAGATTGGTTGATACCCTTTTTAAATTTTGACCTTAGTACTTAATAAATTGTAGGATTAATATTATATAAAAACATTTAATTTAGTGTATGTTTCTGTATACACGTGTATGAAATTCAAATGTTATTTTTTCACTGAGCAGCTCTTCAACAAATATGGAGTCCATATCTGTGGTGAGGGAGGCGAATATGAAACTTTCACCCTGGATTGTCCTCTCTTCAAAAAGAAAATAGTTATGTGAGTAAACCTTTATATTGTTGCCTTTCTTTTGAGTATTTTCAAAAATGTCTAAAATTGTAAATTTTATTTTATTTGGGCAGTGACACAGCTGAGACAGTAATCCACTCAGCAGATGCTTTTGCTCCAGTTGGCTACCTGCGCTTCACCAAAATGCACACAGAGAACAAACATGATGTGAGTCAATCGTCAATTAATATCCCTTGTTTCACAAATGGGGTCAGTGCTGTTCAAATATTTTGCAAGCAGAAGTTTGACCCGCTTTAAGGATGACTACTTTAAAGCTGCTCTCAGGGCAAAACAATACAAGAATACAACCCTTTGGTGTCTGATAACTTTGTCGAAGGGAAGAGAAACTCTGCAGGGTAGAGTTCAGCTCCAGAAGGCCTTCCCAGCTTGTTCACACACAGTCTTGCTCTCGGTCTTTCCTTTAATCCCTCCCTCTTGCACCTCTAGCCCTAGTAGCCTAGTTTGACATCTGCAATATTTGCCGCAGCCTAAAACAAAGCCCAGCTTAATAAACATGTCTGCTCACATTAGGCCGCTTTGCATTCAGGTAGATGGCTGCAAGGACACAAGCAAGGGTGGCAAGAAAGGAGCATGAATTGGCTTTTGGCAAACTGGAGCCTGAATAAAAGCTCAGAAGTTATAAGAATGGCAAACATTTTACTTTACCGTAATTCAAGTTAAGAAATGCTGAATTATTATTATGCAGATCATTTATTTTGATGTTTCAGGTTGTTTAATCCTACTAACCATTCAGTTTTTCAGGTGCWACTTGTTTTTTTTACAGTTGTGGTAAAAGTTCCAATATGGAATCAACACACATTTAAGACAGTGTGAGATTTGCATACCATGCATTAATATGAACCTGTGCTTTTGTGTTTGTTCAAAGCTTCATGAATGTACTGTACTTATGCATGTTAGATGGGGGATGGGACTGTTATGGACAGAAAACATACCCCGATCCCACAACAATTGCGACCCTGCAGCTTTAGCCCCTTGAGCTTTATATTTTTTTTCCTTCCACCCCCATCACACAGACATTGCATGCTCCCACAACCCCCCTAGGTTGCTGGGAGAAGAGCAGGGAAAACCAAACCTTGCAAGAATAGGAGAGAGGAAGGGAGAGAGGGGGTGGGGGGGGACCAACCAGGGGAGAACCTGCCCTGGTTCAGCCTTCCGAAGCTCTTCTCGTCAGGGTGACAGATCCGCGGTGACACCAGCACTAGAGGAAACGGCACCAAGCTCAGGGGGTGGGGATGGACCACCATCATTTGCCCTCCGTTAATGCTAGTCAAGCTATTTTTCATGCTGGCCAGGAGAGAGAGGCTGGAGTATAATTAATTTGATTATCATATGGCCTAATGCGGCTGACAGGAGACGAGGGGGGTGAATGAGTGTCGGGCAGAGTGAGGGGAGCATTGAGGTAATTTGAAATATACATTTAAACGCTTGACGCCCAGCAAGATTTGGCAGGTCATATGTATGCCTTAGAGAACGGTGATGATTTTTTATTTAAAGATGCAGCAAAGTACAAGTAAACAGGTGAAGGAAAAAAAACATTGTAAAAATCTAAAACGTTTCACCCATCTAGTCGGGAGTTTTGACTGACAGGCAGCATGATTGAATCTACAGTATCAGAAAACACCACTCTCTATTCGCCTGAACCACGAATATGTTAGCATGTTGTTTCATATTCATTCACCTTGAAGTTATGTGCGTCTAGGTCCTTGTCATGTAAAAATGACACACACACTCAGCCTACTTAGTTGAAAAAGGTTGGCTAATTATACAGCGTTTTGTCTGGCTTTGCAAAAGGCTCTGTGCTCTTTGGTGGGCATTTGGCCTGATGAATTCCCTGTGGCGTTTTATTGCAGGATGTGGTGGCGATAGCGCTGCCCCATGGTAGTTGTCCTTGCCAGAGCGCCATTGACAAGATGACTGAAGAGGTGGAATATGCTGATCAAGCCGAAGACAACCAGCACAAATTTACATCAAACTGTGACCTTAGTTGTCAGCGGGGCCACGGTGAGATTCATCTGTTGTGAGACTCGCACATGCAGACATGCATGCATGAGTGTGTATTTATGTCTCTGTGTGTCAGATGATATCTTTGTGTGGTGTGTGCTCTCTGGATCTGTGTCGTATGTGGCCAGCATCATAATGCTGCTGTTTGTGAATGACTGTTTGACAAGAGCTGTCATTTAAGTAGTGTATTTGTGACAGTCTCTGAATTAATTTCACTACCATCATAAACCACATATGCATGCCTTAGATTTTAAACAAGATGTGTCTCAGCTGTAAAACAGAAGCAATACCTACTTGTTTTTGAATGTTTCAAAAGTTTTTACCAGGCATGAAATGTGATTCATCACATATGATCCAGAATGCATGACATATAATATATTATACACAATACATGACAAATAATACACAATATATGCCATATAATACATAGTGCACAATATAAGATGCATGACACATGAGGCATTTGTTACACAAAGTATGATACACAATATACAGTATGGTGCATGAAACATGATAGAAATGACACGATACACACCGTGTACTACATGATACAGGATGCATGTTACATGATTCATGACACATGATGCTGTACATAGTGCTTGGTGGACAATAAATTAATACAATTTGAAACAGATATATGATACATAATACAGGTTACATGACACTTAATACATGATGCATACAATACAATGCATGGTACACTATACCTGATACATGATACACAATTCACAAAATATATTATCTAATACCTGACACTTAACACATAGTATATGCTGCATATAACACAATACACAATGCATGATACATGATACATGATACATGACACAATACACAATTTATGATACATGTCACCTAATACCTGATACATAACACATAGTACATGCTACATATAGTACAACACAACAATGCATGATACACAGTACCTGACACGTGATACATGTCACCTAATATCTGATACATGACACATAATTTATRATGCATAAAACTTGATACACAATTCACGATACATATCATCTAATATCTGATACATAACACATATTACATGCTGCATATAACACAACACAACAATGCATGACACAAGATACTGTACATGTCACCTAATACCTGATACATAACACATAATATATGCTGCGTATAACACATTACACAATGTATGATACACAATGCATGACAATTGATACACAATTCATGATTCAAACATAATAAATGTAACATAAAACATGATGACAAACTATCACTTTTTCTACTAAAAAATCCTAACTTGCCWATTTGCCATGATCTTATCCCACAGCGAATTCTCCATCATGTTCAAAAAGAAGCTCCAGAGGCTATCAGTGGATCTCGGGCATTAATGGACTTAAAAGTCAAGAAGTTGAAATTGAGAGTCAGACATCTGCAGCTTTCACACAACTGCAAAGTAAGAGAAAACTTAAAAAACAATAATATTTTTTCTTTGAGCATAATGTCTGAAGTAAGAAAGTTATTTTATTTATTTGTGTTAATGATACAATGATGTGTGTGTGTGTGAGGTAGTGTGTGTGTGTGTGTG